TTTTTTTGTAGTTAGTACAGGATCTACAGGGTCTCACTAGATAGATCAGACTTGTAGTGATCTGCCTGTTTTCAGCCTCCCAAGCACTGGGATTATAGGTGTGTGCCACCACGCCCAGTCTCAGCACTAGGATCTTATCCTGGTCTTTAATCTGTGCTTCCCTAAAGCCGGATGACACTGAGCACGTTTTCATGTATATATGTATATATTTCCTCTCCCTATTTCTTGTTAAGGAAATTTTCATTTTCATTTTTTAACTGGATTGTTTGGTTTTTACACTGTTGAGTTCTGAGAGTCTTTGCATACTGTAGATAAATCCTTTGTCCGAAATGTAGTTTGGAAATACTTATTCCCAGTCTGTTGTCTATATTTTTATTTCTTAAGGGATTCTTTCACAGAGCAAATTTTGATGAAGTCCAATTTGTTAATTTCTCTTTTGGATAAAGTTTTAGAATCATGCCACAAAAAAAATCTTCACCAAACCCTAGGTCCCAAAGGTTCCTTTTAAAATCTTTTAAAAGTTTATCTTCTACAGCATTAACCCTTAAAAGCCTTCTAAGTGTTATATTTAAACCTGTGATCCATTTTGAGATCATGCTTTTGGGTGATTTTACTTTTCTTTACTTTTCCTTAATGGTTAATAATTACTGTAATTTTATAGTATAATGGGTATAAATGATAGTTCGGGTGCCTGCAACAATTGTAATCTGATACAAAAATTTCTGTGGTTTTTCTTGGTGACAAAGTCATAGTCTGTGGTGGTTGCCAATGTTCATAGTTAAGAGAAGTGATAATTTTCAGCTCTATATTCGCTGAGACAGCAACAGACCTCTTGAATTCCATCTACAAACCCTCGAGGGTCTGTGTGATCCATGTTAAGTGAAAATCTAAATGAGAGGGCTTTATCCTGGCAATGCGTTGCTTTTTGTCTACTCCACCTTCCCGGGTTTGCTTCTGTTGTTGAGATTTTCTATGGCCTTTGGCCCAACTGGAAGGGAAAACAACCCGGTTTGGGAAACAGATTCTTCACTTTAACAAATACTATGAACCACCTAATCCCACTGAGGAGCCTCTTAATATACCTGGATCCTGCTGTTGCCCCAGTCTGCCACGATGATGTTCCCATTGGAATCCACTGCGACACCTGTTGGAGCATTAAACTGCCCATTGCCTTCCCCATTGGAGCCGAATTTCAACATAAACTCTCCTTCCTGATTAAACACCTGTAAGAAATATTTTCAGATTGTTCAAAGTTCAAATAGTTGACCCAAATTTAAGCATTTTTTTGGCACTGGAAATCAAACTCAGGACCTTGCTGCCACTGAGCTATATTCCCAGCCCCCAATTTTACATATCAAAAAAAAAAAATCTGAAAATGTTATTTATAGCAAGAGTTGTCATTTTTTTTTTTTTTTTTGAAACAGGGTTTCACTGTATAGTTCAAGCTACCCCTGAACTCATTATGTAGCTCAGGCTGGTCTTGAACTTGTGGCAATCCTCCTGCCTCAGCCTCCCAAGTTCTGGGATTACAGATATGCACCTCCATACCCAGGAAGAGTGAATTAAGACACTCTGATAGAAAAGAAAAAAATCTACAAACAAGATCCTCATATCACTTAATGATGCCCCAGTTTGTTATATATAAATATGATTTATCACTTTTTTTCTATTTTTTGTCTCTTTTTTTTTGGCAGGGTCTTTTTCTGTTGTTTTTTTTTTTGTTGTTCTTCTTCTCTCTGCGTCTCTCTTGTTGTGGTTTTAGGTGTGTGGCCCCTTACCCGGTTTTTGGGGGCGCGTATTGTGTGTTGTCCGGGGTCTCGCCTGTGTGTTTTTGTTTTTGCGGGGGGGGTTTTTGGTGTTGTGCTCTCTCTCTCGCGCTCTATTTTTTGTCTGTTTTTTGTATATTTTTTGTGAAGCGTTTTTTTTGTAAAAATCATAAAAGATTCCACAAAATAAGGCAGCATGAGGAAGGCTATAATTTTCAATGATACTATTCTTTCTACCTTTAAATAAACAGCTAAACTTTAAGGAGGATTACATTGCTAATAGGATGGGTGGTCATTCAATTTGGATGTAACAGTAGGAATTTCTTTTTAGTCCAGATACTCAGAATTTACTGTCAGGCCAGCCAAATAGCCCAGCAGATTAAGGCGCCTGCAAGCAGGCACAGGGGCCAGGGGTTCAATCCCTGGGCCTGCCATGCCGGCCCCACACCTGGGGCACGCTGAGATGGTGCTTGAGATTGGGCGTGGTGGCGCACACCTGTAATCCCAGCTCTTGGGAGTCTGTAAACAGGCGGATCACTAGGAGTTCGATCTAGTAGTGAGACCCCGAACACCCTGTAGATCCAAATTTACTGTCATTTTAGTACATCAACATAACACAAAAAGGAGGCTGGATTTTATGTGCACAACAGGGAAAATTCAATGTGTGTGTTTGTGAGAGGGATGAATGAACAAAAGACTTTTAAAATAAATTCTCATGGTATTTTAGCTAAAATAGAGTTTATACAATTCTAAGGCTTTGATGAAGAAACCTACAAAGATTCTTACAAGTGAAGGAGTAAACAAACTTAAACAATTCTACTACTAGATGTGGTCAAGCCACAGGTTAATGCATTCAAACAGCTGCACCCGGGCATCAAGGCAGCGCGGGAACTTCGAGAGTGAGCGTTGTCATGTGCCCAGTGATAACACCATAACAAGGACAGCTTCATCTTCATGCCTCTGGTGCCACTTAATGGTTCTAAAATGTCTCGTTACCATGACGCCCGAGGCACAGGAACGGCCTGAGGAGCTGAACAGTGCTGTGTGCAAGGTGCCTGCCGAGTGGGGACTCCTGAGGAAGTTCACCTTATTTCAGCACAGGTCTGACGGGAGGCCAGTCAGGACCTGCAAGCACCTCTGGTTCTTTAGAAAAGAAGACAAGAACAACCAGGCTTTATTAAGACGCCTACAGAGGTTTAAACTTTTTGAAATGGAGTGCCGCTAGCATGAGTTGGAATAAGAAATAGTGGATTTTGAAAATTGAAAAAGTGAATTGGGTCTAATTGGTTGAATAGTCACAAAAACAGTATTAGGCTTCCATAAATTTACATTTACATTGAAGCTGTTGGCTTTCAAATTTTAATTTCAAGCTATCTTCAATCATACCTCTCTCTCTCTTTCTTTCTTTCTTTTTGAGACAGGGTCATGCTATGCAGTTTAGGCTGGCCTTAAATAACATTTTGTAGACCAGGCTGGTCTGGAACTCACACCAATCCTTCTGCCTTAGTCTCCCAAGTGCTGGGGTTACAGGTGCCATCACGCCTGGCTATGTTGAGCCACGTATTCTATTCAGTTCCCTGCCTCTCCGATGACATCTATATGCCCATATTAAAACCTGCATTATAGAGCAGAAGCAAAATCTCCTTCTTCCAGGTTAACTCCCTCAGGTCCTGCATGCCTATGCAAGTCATTTTCTCTCACACTAATTTCTCCATACAAGTAATTAAAAGTTAACAAAAACGAATGTGTAATAAACTGTACCTTGACAGAATGATTATGGAAATCTGTAACAATAATCTCATTGTTGCTATTTACAGCTGCAAAATGAGGACCTGCAACAGGGATGGAAAAAGTATATATGATGACCATAACAACAAAAATGATTGCAACACAGCAAGCCCTGTAACCAAAGCCAAATTTAATGTTATTAAAGAACAAACAAAGAAGCAGAGACCCAGCCCCTGTCACATCATCCCGCCTGGCCTCTGGCCGCAGAGAGCTTGGGTCCCTCCTATTTGACTCTTGGGTCTGTTTCCTCTGACTTCTCCCAAGCTGAAGTCTGGGCAGCCCTGACAGTGTGGAAGAGTGGCGAAGCACCAGTGTTTGTTGTCTGCACTGCTGTCTGAAAGTCACACCCGCCGGCTCCTTTGCACGTACTTTGGTTTTCTTAAGGATTCTCAACTCTGCTGGGGAAAGGCTGACAAGTCTTAGCATTGGGAAAGAGACTCCAATATGTAATTATTTTTCCCCTAAAAAGTTGAGCAGAAAGCCCAGATTCTAATTTCAGGTGACATTCAGAACTTAGCAGGACAAAGAACTGAAGACAAAGTACAAAGAAAGGAATGCAAATTAATGTGAAATACCCAAGCATAATTTCAAGAGGAAAATGAATGAGTCCTGTGCAGCCTCTTCTGCAGAGGTGGAAGCTGTTGCGAGCCTGTGAGCGCAAGGTGGCACACGGAAAAGGAGAAGGCCCACCCCACAGACACTCTGAACTCCTGTTCTCATAATAGTTTAGAAGAGTGCACTATACTTCCATGTCAATAAAGCTGCGGCTATGGGAAACAGGAGTTGCTCCATTTTGCCTCAAACATTTTTATTTTAAAGATGCATATTTTACTTAATATGCATTAAGTGCTATAAGTTATCACCAATAAAAACCACAGTTTTTATTGTACAGTTTGACTTACTGCCAGCAGAGAAACTGAGAAGCTTCTACCTAGCCATGCTCTGGCTGAGCCCCCATCCCAGCGTCCTTCCTCCAGGGCCAGCCAGCACGCTGGGGATGTGGCATCTTCAGCATGCTCCGGCCTCATGCATGCGTGAGTGGAGGAAGCAGAAGAAAGGGGGTTACATATTACCGTCGAGTGTACCTGCAAACTGCCTGTCCCCGTTTCCTCGGCTACCGAACTTGGTGACGATTTTCCCATTGGGTTGGAAGATGAACACACAGCATGCCTTGTTGTCCACCACAATTATGTGCCCATTGCGGTCCACAGAGACGCCTTTGGGTCCCATCAGCTTTCCTGATCCAATTTTTGTCTGTGAGAAACAAGTAGAGAGATTGTGTATGGACACCAAGTTCAAAACCCCTTGGACAGGAAGCTCCACACTTCATTCTCGGGATGTAAATTACTGAGATTCAGATATGGTCTCTCTAGATCAGAAACACAAATTACGTTGAAAGGAAGCGCTGGATTTTGTGGCAAGGGTGTTTGTTGTATAAATCTGACTCTGGTGCTGTAATCCAGCCCACAGATCAAAGAGGCTACAACAGAAGGGCAGGTAAACAAGTGACAAATATCCTATCTTAATTTTTTGAGACAGGGTCTTGCTACATTGCTCAGGCTGGCCTCAGACCCTCGGCAATCCTCTACCTCAGCTCCCCAAGTGCTGGATTACAGCTGTGCACCACCACACCCAGCTAAGAAACGGCAAATAATCTTTCATGTCCATGGAGATCAAAAGAATCACTGGTACTCTACTTATTACTACCTAATATTATGAAAACTAGTAGTTATTATTTAGGATGACTCAACCATACAATACACCAAATGGATAATTATCTAGAATTAAAAAAAAAAATCTTACCTCCATTCTATCATGTAAACACAGCTAGGGCAGATCTAACAGATTGAATCAAAGTTTCTTTTCTTTCCACCTCCCACCTATCACTCCTGGTTTGGGTGTACAGTATGGGATGCTACCAAGTGAAGTCACAATCACATCTGCACTGGCTGTGTGACTCCCACTGACTATGGCACTGCACACAGTTACACTGGAACGACACAGAGAAGATGCACGGCCCCCGCGCAAGGGTGCAAATAGCAAGCGACAATATTTAGACCCTGTGTTTGCAGTATTTAACTAAAGTAAGTCCTTGAATCTAAATAGGGAGATGTTTTAGAGTACAGAGGAGAGAGGAGCTGCCGTGTTTGTTCTGTATTTGTCCTGATCACAAAAGCTTCCCAGAATGGCTAGAGGATGTAGGCTAGGAGGGAAGACTCAAAGGAGAAAAGTTAAAGGAGTCAGAGAATATGGAAAATTGGTCAACTTGGAGTAAAAACAAAGAACGTGGACTGGCTTTAACAGTGTGTGTTTCTTAGCACCTGTTTAATTTTACCAAAGAAGAAAAATAAGCTCAGACTCCCCTGGTATGTAGCTACAGTATCAACACGTAGAGGAACTCTCTTTATGGTACTTAAGTGTTTTCACTTGCCATCCTTTCACTCTTTGGGTTCTGATCGGTACCTGTCATTTTTAAAAAAGGGTGCTGCCGAAACTGTGCCACACCCATTGTCCCTGTCCTCTAGGGGGCGACAGTGTTCTTCAGTGTTCATTCCAGTTCTGAGCAACAATATTCTAACTCCAAGAATAAAGTTCTTCAAAGAGGATCTATCACAGACAAGACTACTGAACCAGTGGATGCAAAACTCTTAATTCAAGGAGCCCTTAGATTTCTCTCATAGGTATCAGACTCCTGCCTCAGTATGTGAAGCCTATCTCAGCGTTACCTCCTGAATTTATAGACAGATCATGACTAAAGAACAAATAGGTTGCCTCCCAAATGAGGTGAGCGTGTCACGAGATCACTGAAAAGTTCTCTCTGCCTTCCCACCAGAGCTGTCACATCAGGGTCCTGTCACTATGACAACACAAAGGAAAGGAAGGAAGTTGGAGATGCACAAAAGTGAGAGGTCTTCAGGTGCATGTGACGCATACAGTTTGTGCAGCCAACTGCACACAATAAATATTATAGTGCTAAACCCTCCCAGGCTGAAAAGTCAATGTCGCATACATGCTCTAATTTGTGGGTCAATAATCATATAAATAACTCATTCTATTAAAAACTTTGAGGGAATCATAGAAATCTAAAGACTTTAACAAGGAAACAGTGTTTCAATCAGAGCCCAATCATGCCATCTTTAGGGTTCCAGGATATGGAAATGGTGACAGCTAGGAGCCTGCATGAAGTTATGACTCTCAAATCCTGGCTTGTCAAACAGACTTCACTTTTTGAGTGCTTGTGATAGGCATGGAAAATAACATTTTTTAGATATTTACTTTGTATGAGGCACATATGGAATCCGGAATAAAACCTCATTTATTCTTTGCTAAGATCCTATGAGACAGGTTTTTTAAATTTAAATTTTAAATATTAGGCTATCAAGGCTCAAGGAAATGATATAATTTGCCAAAAATAGTTCATAAGCCAGAGTCTCCAGGGGATTCACTGGTCTGAGTTACATGAAGCTGAGGCTGTGGGCCACAGCGGACGGCATGGTGCATATGCCTGCACGAAGATGCTCGACAAGTCAGCATCCTGTGAACAAGTGCACGGGATGGGGCTGGATGGTACCAATTCTCTGGGGACAGCTGGGGACTTGTGGTCACCACTGGGCTCTCCAGTAGGCTTGGAGTTGAGAGCTGCTGAGGAAACAGAGCCATCAGGCCAGGTGCTGGAGCGCTGGATGTCAGCGCATACAGTGACAGAAGGGGTGGAGCGCAGGGAGGCAGGCACTCCTGAGGGCAGGCTGGCACACCGGCCCTTCCCCATCTCTGCCCCTACGTCCCGGGTGCCAGAAGGCGAGTGCTTTCCCTGTAGTCCTGCATGCTGCACTGCCCCAGCACTGGCCCAACCCAGCAGGGCCAAGCGACCGTGGACTGACGCCTCTAAAAATGTAGGCGAAATAAATCTCTCCTCCTGCCAAGTGGTTGCAGCTTCAGAAAGCTGACCACATAGAAGTCATTCTTACTTCCCTAAAGATGACGCCAGGAGCCAGCAAACTCATCAAGTGATGGGATCCTGTCAAGTGCCCCTCGACATGCACCTTTGCGGTTTCTCCTTCCCCCACCCCTCCAAATCTTGTCTGACGTTTTTAATGCTATGCTTTTAGAGCTGTACTAAGCAGTTCATGGCTAGTATGAGTTGCAATCTGTCCTTTCTGTGTAACTACTCTTTTTCTTCCAGAGTCTATATATTTTTAAAAGTTGGGAACTATGTCTTGATTTTTTTAAAAAAATTCTTTCATTTATTTACTTGGTACAGGGCCTTGCTATGCAGCTTGGACTCGTGGTGATCCTCCTGTCTCAGCCTCCCCAGCACTGGGATTATATGCCTGTGCCACCACACCTGGTGGTACCAGGGATCGAACCTGGGTCCTTGCACTTGCAAGGCAGGTGCTTAGACTGCCCAGCTATCTCTCCAGTCCTGGGAACCGTGTCTTACAATTTGGTTTCTCCATGGTCACCTATCACAGCCTGAGAAAGCAGAAGGCACTTTGTAAGGGACAACCTATAGGTCAGTGTGAGAACTGTAACTCTTTACTAAACTCTTTATTAAAGGTGGTTGTTTCTCACTGAGTTCAGGAATGGGAACAGTTCCTTTAATTTGAAGGTTTAAAGAAAAAAGAAGTAGCTGAGCCAACAAATTGCTTTATAAAATGAAGCTACCTTTAGGATCTACATGAGCAGGTTTATGAAATGATCATTTTTGCTTTCCCTTCAGACGCCTTGGATGCCAGTGTCTTTGTATATTGTTGAATACTGGATTGGATTTCAAACAGAATAATCACTTCATCCCTGTCTCTTGCTCCTTCTCACTCTCATTTGGCAGCCACCCGGGAGTTAATCTTACCTTAAACTTCCCATCTGAAGAGAAAATGCTGACCCATTTATTGTCATAGTCTGCAATGATTATGTCCCCACTCGGGTGCACAGCGACTCCTGTGGGCCGCTGGAGCTGCCCAGGCGAGCGCCCTCGGATGCCGAAACGACTTTTGAACTGGCCGTCATTGGAAAATATCTGCAAAGCAAGTGCATACAGTTGGAGCATGAACACAGCGCTGGAATGACCCAAGAGGCAGAAGCCAGCAACACCTGCCATTTGGACCAGGGTACAACACATGCCAACCCCGAGGAAGCGGAGTCTGTGTACACAGTGGTTAGCTTCTCTCCTTGTACCATGTACCTTAGATCTAAAGTAGGAAAACATGCAAGAATGTCCATCTTATCAGTATAAGCAGGTGGAGGTATAAGAGGAAGGGAACTACCTGCACACACTGGTTGTTACTGTCTGCAATCAGTATCTTTCCACTTGTAGATGCAGCCACCCCCTGAAGATTCGTAAACTCTCCTTTATTTCTTCCTTTGGTACCTAAAAATAAATTAAGAAATTAAGTGCTAGAGAATCAGGTTTGTCAGTTTCAGCAAAAGAATAATTCAAGCTTCTTGTAGGTAACTTGAGATTTTTTTTTAGTTTTAAAAATATTTTATTTATTTGGTATAGGGTCTTGTTACGCAGCTCAGACTCCTAGTGATCTTCCTGTGTCAGCCTCTCCAGTGCTGGGATTACAAGCATGTGCCACCACACCTGGTTTCAGTAACCGCCTGGGCATAGGGCTGGCATGTCATGTGGTACTGGGGACTGAACCTGGGTCACTGCACTTGCCAAGCAGGTGCTTAGTCTGTTGAGCTATCTCACCCCAATTTTTTTTTTTTTTTTTTTTTTTTTTAGTGTTGGGGATCTACCCCAGGGCCTCTACTAGTGAGCTGCATCCCCGGCCACTGCACTACTTTACAATGACACTTAAAACAGGGGCCTCCTTCCCACCCATGACTTAACATACATCTATTTAACATCCAGGTCACTGAAATCTATACAAAACCACTTTTTTATACAAATGCCAAAATATACTCAGATTCCACAAAAACATAATAATAAAAACTAATATTCTAATTGGGTAGATACAAGAAGAGAAGAGCCTTATTTTAGAGTTCTGCCAAAATCCCAAGCATTTACTGAGCAGCTCTCAGAAGAAACCTGGGCGCCCAACTTTCAGAGCTTTTAAACAAATGCTCAGACCACAAATGCTGTAAAAGTGCACTTGATTTCCATAAGCTGGATCTACTCAAGCATAGTTTTCTAAGGCGCTGGATCTCATTGGCTGTGTGTTCTTCCTGGTTTCAAGTTAAACATACTTTGCATCTGCTGCCCCACTTGTAAATAAAATCACAGAGCTGGAGGCATGTCTATTAGTCTGACATTGCTGATTGATTTTTAAAAGAGGCTACATGAATCAGGCTCTGCCATTTCAACTTTAACCCTGCACTTCCTGGTGCTGGGGATGGAATCCAGGGTCTCCACACTCAGCTACATCCCCAGGCCTTTCCTATTTTTTTATTTTCAGGCAGGATTCTGCTAAGTTACTAAGTTGCTCAGGCTGGGCTGGAACCTGAGATCTGCCTACCTCAGTCTCTCAGGGTAACAGATGACAGGTCGGATGACAGGTCTGCATCCCTATACCCAGCTCACCATGAAGCAAAACAAAACACCCCCCCCCCCAAAAAAAAAAAAGAAACTGTGAATGACAGAATAACATTCTGTTACACCTTAGATTGAAGTTGTCCCCGCTAAAGCCTTTTTGTTAGACAGGTGACTGGGTCATGGGCACCGCGCTCCTCGGTGGACTCATCCGCTGTAAATTCACGCCGAGTATGCTGTTAGGAGGGGGCCTGGGCAAAGGCAGCTCCCTGGGCAGGACCTAGAAGGGAGGTCTCCCTCCCCACTCCTCCCTTCTCTCTCTGCTTCTTTCTGCCATGAGGCCCCTCCCCACTCCTCTGATAGACATGCCCACTATGCTGGAGCGACAGAAACCATGAACCTAAATAAACCTTTGCTCCTTCAAGGTGGGGGGTCTGGCCTACAGCACCGTGTTACTCGCAAAGACTGAAGCCTATCACAGGCATATTCTGGTGGAGCAACTAACACCAACTGTCTTGGCTAGCTGTTGAGTTACAAAATGTTCTGTGCTACATACTGACACAGAACTACTGCATACTGTTCAAACATGAGTGTTTATAAAATGTCTTGCAATGAAAACAAAAACTGAGGTTCTAGGAGTTAGAACTGATTTGGGGTCATGCCTTGGTCTTTCAGCTTTTCAGTACATTCGATTTGGTCTACTAAAAAAAGCTCCCTTTTGTCTTTAAGGTATTCAAAATTTAAATGACTTTCAAAATGACTATATATGTTAACACCAAATGCACACAGTGCTACAAAATCTTTACCTATTTTGATATAAATGATTTCATTTGATGGTTAATCAAATGAATAGCATGAATTTTTAAAGTAACTATAAACAATTTGACAATAATTCCACAAGAATAAGTTTTTTTCTAGATGTTAAACTAAGAACTGAAGCACAAAATAAATTTTTATATGCTTCCACACAAGGAGAACCAAGGCCCAGCCTCCTGTGAGCGTTCCTGCCCAGGATGGAGTCCTTCCCACTGGGAACCCAGGGCTCCTCACCGCGCTCCAGCTGGATGACCACACGAGGCGGGGAGGAAAAAAATCCCAGTAAGGCCACAAGCGCGAAGTTCTCCAGCATCACTTGGCGGTACAGGGCCCTCTGGCCCTGATCTAGGAGTGCTCATTCCTCCTGGGAGAAGTATACAGCCACATCCTCGAAAGCCATCATGCCCCCACACTGCACACCTCATGCAGAAGCAGATCTATCCACAGTCCAACCATTTTTACCACCACGATGGCCACCGGATCCAGGAACCATCACTGCCCACACCTGGACTGCAGAAGGCGCCTCCCTTCATACACCTGTTCTCCGCGACGGATCCGTCAGCGCGCTCGCTGCGGCCATGGGCCCC